AAGCTTTTTGGGGGTAAAAATGGTCATTCTCACTAATTGAGTGCCCTATGACCTCTAATATGATTGTCCGGGGTCCTATGAGGGTCTGTACTAAGAAAATCAAGCTTCCGGCTATTTTTTTTTTTTTTACTCTCTAATAAAGGATTTACAGTTGGTGAAAAAATTGGACCCTGTTTGCATAGTAGAAAATGAGATACAAGGCTTGGAATATTTTCTTTATATATAAAAACATATGTGTAACCAAATTTATAAGGGTTGTTACTAAAAATAGATTTTTTGTCTGGAAGCTTGATTTTCCTAGTACAAACCCCATATATATATATTACATTTTGCAACAATTTATAGATGGAAATTGAAAGTGAAGCCAAAACAGCAATATCTAAAATTTCATCTAAATATAATTTTACTTGGGTTATACCACATTTTGAGCAATTAATCGAACGCACACCTATAAAACAATTTACTTTGTCATTACCATTCAAAACTCAAAGAGAACATCCATACCCCTTTCCACCGCTTAAAGATGAATCTACAGATTATGTTTGGAGACTTAGATTATATCCAAAAGATGGAGATTCAAACAATCATATATCAGTTTATTTAGATGGATTTCAAACAAGTTATGAAAAAAGAAATAATATAACAACCAGAAGAAGAAAATATAATTTTGAAATATTTCATTTAAATCGATCTGATTGTTCTTTAAAAAAGTTAGGGAATTTACTGGATTTAACAAGCACATGGGATTTTAATGGCACAAAATGTTGGGGAACCAAAAAAGTTTTAGTTCATGATGATGTTTTTCCTAGTAAAGATTATTCGATTGAAGTCCATCTTATTATATGTGTTTGTATATTTAATGATCAAAATACTATATTAAATGAATGTGATGGAAGTAATTGTAAATCTTTACAAAAATTCAGCAAATTTTTTGGTAATGATAAATTATCAGACATCACTTTTCAGTTGGATTGTGGATCAACTATTAAGGCCAGCAGGATTTTATTAATGTCACAGTCAACTTATTTTGAAAAATTATTATTAGGTGAATGGATTGAAAGTATGAATGATGTTATATCAATAAAGGATATTGATTTAACAACCTTTAGAGCCATAATATATTATTCTTATAGTGGTAAACTAGAGACTGGATTAAATGTTGAGGCCCTAAAAGATATTTATTTAAAAGCTGATATGTGGGACATGAAAGAGTTATTACAATTTATTAGAAATAAATTAATGAATAAAATAAATTTAAATAATTGGAAAACTATTTTATTTCTAGGTTTTAGATTTAATGATCTATTTCTCAAAACGGAGTCTTTGAAATATGTTCATGAAAATTGGCAAGATATTAAACCATCTCAAAATATGAAAGATTTTTTATTTGAGGCTGAAGTGGATTGGGTAGAAGAATTAATGTTTGCAAGATTTTTTGGTTTTGGTAAAAAATAAAAAATTTAAATTGTGTATTATTATCAATATTATTTGTTATCAATACTACTTATCAATACTATAATTATTAATTATCATTATCCATCATTATTGTTATATACTAAAATCAAACAAAACTCAATCATAAATTCACAAAAACAAAATTTCAATTCTATATCAATCATTAGATAATAAATCTTACATATAGCCTTTATATATTCACATCAATATTAAATTAGATTAAAACTTAATTATTTATTTACTTAAACCATTTTCAAAAAAATTTTTTTTTCTTGAATTGTATTTTTTTTTAATTTAATTTCTGTGATTGATACAATTTTGAATACCATTTATATATTAGAAGATAATCAAATCGTTGAACAGACAGGTATTTAAGTTGATTTTTATTTCCGTAATATTTAATGTTAATAAACGAATTTATTGTTTATTGTTTTTTTTTTCCTTAGGATCAGACTGAAATTTGTATTGCTAAAGGACAAAATTATGCATTTTTAAAAATCAATATTTTGGAATTGTAATCACTTAATATTAATATTTAATTACATTTTCTTTATATCTATTTTAATAACAATAATAAATTATTATAAATACATAGAAAATAACGAGAAACAAACGGGATTTTTTTGGACCATACAAAAAACATTTAAATATAAATATATATTCTTTTACAAGACAAGGAGCTTAATTTTCAACCTAGATCGATTTAATTTTCAATTAACCATGCATTCGTTCACCCTTAATGTTATTAAAATTGAATTGCTCTTCCCATTAACCACTAAAATTTGGAGATAAAGTATATAAATTTTCAAAAAAAGTTTTTTTATTTAGAAGGTTGTGATAATATAAATACACCTAAAACCACAATTGTTACAAAAAGAGTTGCACTAGGTATTACTAAGTTAGTTGAAATTGGCTTATCTGAATCCTTAGATTTTTGTTTCTTTTTCTTTTTATCTAAAATTTCATCATTGTCAACAAATTTTATTGATTGTGACTTTGTTTTTGATAGTGATTGTTTTTTTTGTATATATAAAATAAACTTATTATGACCTTGTTGTTGAGCTATACGAACAGCGTCAATAACATCATCATCTGAAGACATTGTAACTTGATCATCATCTTCATCCATGTAAGAAATGCTGAAATCCTTGATTGTTGATGGAAGTTTGGAAGTTACAGCAAAAAAGATATTTTCAAAGCATGTGTAATTAACAGTGAAGCGATGTGATTTGCCATTAGGATCTTTGAATTTGAAAGCAAAGAAATTTTCATCATGACCACGAGGGAAAGATGCTACAGAACCATCATCAATTACTGAAACTGATTCACCAGGATGAATTTCTGGAATTGGAGTAACATAACCTGATCCATTCATATGAGGTGATGGAGGAGGAATATTAGAAGCACTTTGTGATGGTGTTATTGAATCAGAAATGATTGATTCATTATCTCCATCACTTGCAAATGAATTCCAAAATTTACTCCACATTGGACCAGGACAATTCTCTTGATTTTGCATTAAATATATCTAACAAACAATTTGATTAATCAATTAAGTATTATAAATTTAAAAATTAATTGTTAATCTAAATTACCTGTTCCATTATTACATATGTTAATTTCAATACATCTACCATTCCTAAAATATTACCACCTTCAACAACTGGTAAATTCAAATAATGACCATCTAAAATAACAAAAATTAAAAAAAATTTTCAAAATAATATATATATCTTATGATTATTACATACCATACATCTTTTTTAATGCATCCAAGATACTGGTATGTGGAGGGGCAGTGTCAGGATGAGGAGTCATTACTCTAGCAACGCTACATGCGGAAGAATCTAAACCTGCAGCTATTACTCTTAGAACAATATCTTTACTTGTAAAAATACCTGCAATCATATTATGATCCATTACCAAAACAGCGGTTGTTCTATACTCTCTCATTAATCTGGCAGCGTTCCTAACAGAAGTTTTAATTCCAACCTGTACAGGTAGATAACCATCCAACACAGTGGTTAGATCAGGACATGCCATTTTCTCTTTTAAAACAGACATATATTGTAAAACTGGAGATGATTGATTAGTCCATTCTCTTTCAACATTTTCAAGAGCATCATAAAGTTTTTTAGAAGATCCATAAGCACGTTCTAATTTTTCTAAAGCTTCATACAAACATTTTGTAATATCCAGAAGCCCTACTACATCGCCGTCTTCGTTAAATACGGGCTAAAAAAAGATTTACAATTAGTTAATGCTACAAAAATAATAGTAAATGTTATTTTGTACATACAAGATGTCTAAATCCTCGTGTAACCATTGTTGTTGGCTGAAGTGTCGTCTCTAACACACATTGGATCTTTTGTCATGATTTGTTTTACGGTTGTTGTCATTGGATTTAAACCATCACCTATTACTCTGAAGGTCAAATCTTTAGCAGTAAAAATTCCCGATAAAGCTTCTTCCTCGTCAATTACCAAATCACAATCGGCTCGTTTTGCAGCCATAAGTTGTGATGCTTCAACAACTAAGGTACTCTCCTTAACAGTCAAAGCCAGTGATGGTTTCAAGGAATAAACAGTGTTATTTTGTTTAGTATTCGATGGTCTGATAGGATTACTATTTTTTCTTTTATCAATGTTTAAATTTTTTTAAAATATAAATATCTGTATTAACATTGTTACTCTCAGTTGGACTTAAAACGGGAGTTGAATATCGTGTTGGCGAATTTTTATTTTTTCTTGATTTATAAGTTGCTGATGACATTTTAATTACGTATAAAAAAGAACTTTTATATTTTGTTTCAAAATCCCGAATGTGTTACACATTCAAAAAATAAAATAATATTAATAGTGAGAATATATTAATCGCCAATTCTCCTCAATTTGATGATGTTTTCTTATTTTAAATAATACAAAAAAAAATTTTTCTTTATTTTGCCCAGGGGGTTTCTAATTAGCATTGGCGTCGATAATAAATCATATTTCCTGAAAATTTAAGTTGATTAACAAATCTAATTAATGTCATAATGTAAATACATATCAGTCGCAGGACATTGCGGATCTACACACAAATTTGCCTGATTTAATCATAAAAAATAACAAATATATACCACTAAGCGATAATCTTAACATGAAGTTGGACTACCAGTTCTATAAGTTCTATAATAATAATAAATTAAGAAA